GTTGGCAGGCAACCTGGGATAGGCAATGGATTATTTTTTTAAGACGTACTTACCTAACATTTTTTGAAATAGATCTGTTTATTGCATCTGGTAAACACGACGGAAAAATAATTCGAATGCTCGAAAAGCATTTTCCAAATACATTTTTCAAAACATTGTTTTTCTCATTGTAAACAATGACGCTTTTTGACAGCAGACAAAATCGCCACTTTATCAATTTGTCAAGGCGAATATTTTTTTTCGCCTCAACACAACAAATTTTGACATTAGACTTGAGAGAAACAGCTTATTTTTCGATTAATTCGCCATCTTGGTGACCTTATTTATAGACCATGGATTTTGACATCTTTCTTTTGCATTTTTTCGCATCTTTAGCACGATTTTATTCCCCTCATGAGTTAAATACAAGCATTTCAATGAATGTTGCGCATATACGCTTTGCATATTAAGATGTGAACTTAAAAATCTTGAAAGGTTTGGAAATACAAAAGGAAAGGTTCTTTTTTTTATTATATATTTTATACATTTGAAAAGTTGAGTATTGTAGGAACGCTGCGCTTCATTCTATTTGCAATCACTCGTAAAGATTTTCCAAAGACTTGCAGATATATTGTTGTTCGTCTGAAAGTTCACATGATTTTCTACACATATCGAGTTTCCCGAACTTTTTCGTAAAAACTGCACTGAATTTGATTTACATTCGATATCGGTTATACTGGCATATTGACTGTATCGACGAAATCCAAAAGTCCAGAATTTCTGCCACTTACAACCCACACAAAAATGTCGCTTGTAACGGTTGTAACGACAAAGACATAAAAGCTTTTCCTATGTTGTTATGATATCATAACAACATAGCGAACAATATTAAATGGTTTCAACTGCTATATCGTAAGTTTATAAAATTAAAACATATATTTTGAGTACAAATCACTGATCACTGATTTTATTTACATTTTATACACACATTATCGTGTATTGGCGGTTTTATTCTTAACATGCCTCTGTTATGCCTGATTCCCCCTGGATATTTTTTTATAAACTATTTTGTCAAAATGCATTTTGTCGAGTCTTTACGGTTTTTATGTCTTTGGTAACGACCTGTTTTTGAAAAATATTCGATTTTTTCTATATATTTTAAAGATGAAACCATGGCATAATTACAGAAGGTAGTCTCATTTGAGAAATTGATAATGCAACCCTTTTTAATTTGGAATTCATATACCAATTTCAGATAAAATGAATCCCATAAAATTTTATGTATGTCAATTGGCATATTTTCAATAAATTTTTTCTAAAACTGAAAATTGCTTTCAAGATTCAGCCATGGTGGTTACATCCTTTAGTCATACGTTTTAGAGGCAGGAAACTTCAAAATATTTATAAATATAAATTATTTAGTGGTTTTTGTTACTGAGCACATAATATGCGTACAATTCCAAGGAAGATATTTTCATTTAAATTTTGAAAGCTGAATACTGTCAAAGACAGATTTATGAAAACTTTGGAAACATATGACTGCATGAGACTTTGACTGTTTCTCTGGGAGTATAAAGCTTTCTTATGAACTAAAGAACTTCCTTATTTTTTAACATAGTTTGTGGCTAATAATACGTGAATTTACAAAAAAAAAAAATCAAATGTCCTTCATTTTATTAAATTTTGAGCGTAGTCAATAATCCGGATAATAACCATTCCGGAAAAATTTCCGGATTCCGATGTTCCAGTTAGGAGTTATCATGGCCGCAATTAAAAATAAGGAATTTTCTTTAATGACCAAATTGGAGAATGTTGTCTCCGAAATCAACACAAGCCTTTTGATTATGGGACAGCACTTTGAAGTAGATAGGGAAATATCTCCAGATAATTTAAAGAAAATCAAATCCAAACAGGACAATTAAATGTTAAATTCAGGGAATGGTATGTAAAATACAAACCAGCAAGAGCTTGTGTTACCGAATTGGTTAAAAATTTAAGAGAAGGTGTTGATGTTTCTTTTTACTTTGAGCACAGCTTGTAAAGATTTCAAAACTTATTTCATTGCCTGAAAATATTACGATAGATATTAATATAGAGGGACTTCCACTTTTTAAGAGTTAAAAACCCAAATTTGGCCGATTCTTATTAAGACTACCAATACAGCTAGTTGCTACGTTTTACCAGTTGGAGTTTTTTTGGGTAAAACAAAAACCCACGACTTAGACTCTTACCTACACCATTTTTCAGAAGAAAGGCTACCGAACTAAGACAATTCGTATTATATAGTGGTATTATTGTCTTAAAGGATGTGGTAGACGACCTATACTACTTATTTATATTAATGCACTGTTCATATAGATTAATTTGTTGTTCTAAACAAAGATTGACAAATCTGGAAACTTCGCAAATGATGCTGAATATATTTGTTGAAAAATTTCCTTCAGTTTTTGGTGAGAATAGTGTCTCCTACAATGTACATAGCTTGTTGCACGTAGTATAGTCAATAACATTTCTTGGCGATCCAATAAGTGGTTCATGTTATCCTTTTGAGTATTACCTTCAAAAGATAAAGAAATGTATCAAAAGTCAGAGAAAATTTTTGGAACAAATTTATAGACATTCTGTAGATGAAAACTTTGAAATAAAATCCATTTGAAATAATTCCAGTACAGATTGTATCATTTCGCAACTGCAAAGAAGGCTTATTCTTAGGTCGCAGATTTATGAATATTCAAAGTTTTTTTAAGGAGCCTTGTGATTCATTAGACGTAGGTATATATCTAGTAGATTTAGAGCCAATCTGTCATGAAGAAAAATTTTCGATTTCCGATTTAGAATGCAAAGTTGTAGCATTACCCTCCAAAGAAATTTACTCCTAATCCCTTTGTTACATACCCGTATTTAAAGTTTTAATATGTTCTATTTAAATTTACATTTTTTTATGTTACTTTATTGTACATAATATTACAGTATACTTAATTTTCAAACGAAAATTGAAGGAAATACCAAAAAATTATATAAATTAATCGTTTCAAAACAATTGTTAAGAATTGTAAGTAGTAAAGTGTGTAAATTGATAAAAAAAATCCTATAATATGTTCTTATTATCAATTGCAGATGAATCCAACCAATAGCTGAATTAAAGCTCTTAAGAGCAGAATGTGATGAGATACAAATCTGCAATAAGTTCGCCATAAAAAGTGAAAGCGATCTACATGAAATTAATAATCAAATTTCCTACGAAAATAAGAATAAACTTCAAATTAGTTCATTTTTGAAAATTTAATAATATTTTATATTTATTTGCGGGTCAAGGCCATAAAATCCATTATAAAACGCGAAGGAATATCAAAGTCTTTAAAAAATATATTAGATTCAAATATAACCCTCATGTACAATATTGATGGGAATCATGGAAAGAAGGGTTTAAAACCCCTTAGCAATTTTTACAACGTCTTCTTAGGTAAGATATAAAAATAATTTATTATATTGTGAAATGACATTCTAATCAACGCTTTTATTTTCAGATGCAATACCTGTCACAGACGAATGTGATTCTGCGGAAACTCATTGGCGACAGGCAATCCAGTTGCAAAAAAGGGACATTTTAAGAAAGTTTGCCTTCAAAAGAAAGATGTATTGGTAGAAAAAAATTAGTTATCCTTAAAGTTTTATAACTATTGAAATAACTTTTTTACTTTTTAAGAAAATATGTAAATATTTATTTATATTTAATTTTAAAATATAAGAATTGAATGAGTGATAAATATTGAAAAAAATATTTTTAGTTGTTTTTTGTTTTTTTTTTACTTTTTATGAAAATATGTATATATTTATTTAAAATACAAAAATTGAATTCGTATATATAAATGAATGCTAAATATTAAAAAAATGATTTTAGTTGTTTTTGTTTTTTACTTTTTAATATGTATGTTTTTATTTATATGTAATTTTATTATATACAAATTTAACTTGAATTTAAAAATGATTTTTAAATATTGAAAAAAGTATTTCTTTTCTATTTCTTTTCTTTAATAAGAAAATATGTAAATATTTATTTATATGTAACTTTGAAATATAAACATTGAATTCGAATTTCTATATGAGTGTTTTAATTACCAATTACTGTACTAGTTCTTAGGGAACCAGTTAGGAACTGGTATGCTTGCGTTAGAGAAGGGGGTAGTCCAGTTACACTAGTCTAAGACTGATTACTCGTTTGTTATGTGCGTGCGAACATTCGTTTGGCCAATGCTCGTTTGATAAAAAATTATTGCGGTAAATTCATTCGTAAAATGAGCCCAAAACAAAAAATAACGTATTTTGAATCATTCGCGAGCGAATTTTGCGCACTCTGATAAAAATATCGTGTCGCCGTGTTTGTTAGTCAACTATTTAGACTTTTAACGTATAAGGCTAAGTAAAGCGTTGACATTTTGATATTTTAGGCGAAGTAGGGCATTTGCACCATAGGATTTCTATTGGATTTAGCAATTAAATCGATATAATTCACATTATCACGATAAATGTTATTGTCTGCACGCACCTTAAATCAACTAAAATTCACTACATTTCTGAAGAATTTCGTACTGTAAACGCGCCATAATATTCTTTCCAGTGTATCCTTTAAAACTCATAGTTTTGATAGTTCTTCAAAAACATATCGCATATCAATGTTATGATACTCTTTTATATTTAAACTCATTATATGCACATCTACACCGAACATGTTTAATCTCCACTCGCTTGATTTTGATGAAAACTCTCTCTCAGTTCCAGAACCTGAAAGTATCTTCTATTAATATGTATATATTGTTTCGATTTTGCCTTAATAAATTTTTAAAGTTTTACAATTTTTGAGTACAAGAAGAGATCAAATATTTTTTTCTTCTTCAGTCTTTTGTTTTGTTTCCTTTTTTTAATTTTATACCACAAAAGACCGAGAAATTAACTACGAAAACGCTTAAAGAAAATGAAACAATACAACATAATGGCAAACGTAATTAGCAAATTAAATATAAATGTCTTTGATGTTGGCTACAAATGAATACAACATTACTACCAAAACAACGGCGGGAACGCCACCAGCCAAACAACAATTCACAGAGCAAAATGCGCCAAGCCCAAAAGCGAACTCGATTTGGATTTGGTAAGCTGAACCAAAAAAAGCACTAAAAGTAAACAGTAAGTCAGTCAGTCGATGATCAGACAGACACCAGCAAACAAGTTACATTCGCAGACGCAACGGAGCCAAGTAACACGTTTTTCGATTAAACAAAATAATCACTGGCATACTAGAGAAAGACGTTTTAATAAATAAATCCAGTTCACTTTTTTCTAAACGAGGCCATTCAAATGTCGCCCTTAAAAAGTTGCCTGCAATTTGTTTTCGTAGTTTGTGTAATGCAGTTTTTGATGTCACCAACAAGTGCGTACGATCCAAATGATAAGAAAATTGCCTCCGTATTACCACCTGAGGGTATGTTTGAAGCTTTTTATCCACGAGAAGTAGATGGTGTACCGAATGGAGCATCACGACCAGCTCATGCTCATGGAAGTTTTTTCAAACATCGAAATCCAGCTTTGGTTGATACAAAAAATGCAGCTGCCTACGGTTATCGTTTTGACGGGAAACGAAGATTTAATTTCGATTGATTGAATAGCCTAGTAGACATAACAGTGTAGTTGAATTAGTTAAAAGAAGCATGTACATACATAAAAAATAAGTGATTGAATAAATATATTATGACTTGTGAGAAATTCAGATAATTTGATTCATATTTTGATGCCATATTTTAGATTTAAGACGTCTTATCTTAAATTATGAGTGCATATTACACACTAAAATATAAGTGTATGTGAAATATTTGAATATAATATAATGTCTGCATATGGGGCATGCATTTCTTCAAAGAGTCACATAATTCATAAAATCTGGTTTGACATAAAGTGATAAATAATATTGTAGGGATAAAGTCAACATTTTGTCGAACTTTTTATAGTAATATCCTGGTACAATTATATATATATATATATAGACCCATTTCTTAAACGGATGGTGACTGGAAATGAGAAATGGATCACATACGATAACACTGTGCGAAAATAATCGTGGTCAACGAGCGGCGAAGCACCTCAAACGGTGGCCAAACCTAACGGCCAGGAAGGTTTTGCTATGCCTTTGGTGGAACTGGAAGGGGATGATGAGTAAGGATATGTAGTCGAGAGTAAAAGTCGACTTTTAGACTTTTCGATTTTTTCCTCTGACCAAAAAGTCGATTTTTAGATTTTTCGATTTTTGCCTTTGACTACAAAGTCGACTTTTTCGATCTTTCGATTTTGTGAGACCTGTTCAAAATCGAATTTCGACTTTTACCAATTAAAGAAAAATCGACTAAAAATTTAATTTTTTTATAAGAATTGTCAACAAATGAAATAAAGTTCTGAAATGTGTAATCTTTGGGCAATTGCGGCTTTGTGATAATAAACCAAGTATTAATGAAGAAAATCGAAAGTCGATCTTGAAAAGTCGACTTTTCGATATTCTCCAATATCAAAAGTCGACTTCGACTTTTAGACTTTTCAATACAAAAAGTCGATTAGTCGAAAGTCGATTTACTTATCCCTAATTATGAGTTGCTTCCATATGGCCAAACGCTACTGTCAACAACTGGATCGTTTGAATATAGCAATTGACCAGAAACGGCCAGAATTGGCCAACGGAAGATTGTTTGGGAAGTTTTAATGCATCCGCCATACAGTCCGGACTGGGCACCAAGCGATTATCATATTTTTCTCGCATTGCAAAATTTGGTATCTAGGGAGGATTGTGAAAATGACTATTAGAGTTCTTGCAAATAGAGAGCAGAATTATGAAGTTGCCTTTAAAATAGCAACAAAGTATACAACAAAACGGTGCATATTTGGCGCAAATCGGGGAACAAGTCTAGTTTAGGCCCCCTCCCGGATCGTTTTAAAATGTTTACCACATGTAGTCCTTGGGGCCCTGATTACAGCAGTATACTTTTTTCTTGCGGAAATCGGTATTTCCGGAGATATAGGCCTCCAAAGTTCCGTTGGGACCCTTGAATTTTCTCGTATTTTTTTAAAATTCACTAAGGCAATATGGGTATTATTTTAAAGCATTTGAAGCCCTGATTACAAAAATATAATATTCATATCAAATAAGTCCATACTTCCTGAGGTCTCCAAAATTCCGCAAGATTCAATTAAAAGCGTCTGAAACACAAGTTGTAAAAATGTAACTTTATTATCAGAAATGTTCCTACTCCCCGAGATATGGGTGTCCAAAATTCTATGACTTGTTATGCTTAAGATTACAACAGTTTTATTAAATTCAACATTATTTTTTCGCAAAAATTCATATTTTAATAATATATTTACATTTATATACGTTTTCTTTTTTTAACATTTCCCCCTTCGTTGTCAGAACTTTCTGGCGAACTTTCTAACTTCCTCTTTGATGGAAGTTCAGCACGAGTTTTCCTTCTTAGTATTTGGGAATCTTCCGACTCGGAACTGTCGCTACTAAATAATATGAGGTCCTCAGTATGTTCTCTTCGAATTTCGACTTCGTCGTCGGAAGACTTCACCTTAGCTGGGTCATATAATTGACCCGCAAATCGAAAAAATTCACGAATGGATCCTTCTTCTGCGATTTGCACCATTTTAAAAAGATATATTTCTGAATATAACCGTTAAAAAAGATTTTTCTACGGTTATATTCAGATAAAGATCTTTTAAGATGGCGCCATAATCCCTTGATGGTATTCGTGTGCTGCTTCGATATCGGATCCACAAAATGCTTGGAATGATTCACCGTAAAATGGGTATATCCTTCCAACGAATCATAAGCCTGTAATTAATAAGTTATTACTATAGATAAATACCAATAATATTTAAGTACTTACTTTCCAACAGTCAGAAATTATAATTGATCCGGGCCTAATATATTTTTTAATTAGCGGTCTATCGCTCTACCCCGCCCGAACACCCACTGCCCCTCTACAGCATGGCCTCTATTATACTTCCTCTTGCCTATTTTTGATTCGTCGATTTCGACCTCAATTCCAGGACCACCAATTTCTAATAATGTTTGGAAGGAACTATATATTACAATTTCTCGGCAAAAATTGTTCCAGTCCACGGCCGTCAGCTTAGACATTGTTGTTTCTTTTATGATATCCGCCAAGGTATCGTCACGAGTGACGCACATGAACGTTCGGTTATTCTACATAAATATATATATATATATATATAAATATATACAACATTTTAAATTTTACATAACATACTCACCTCCAAATCCAACCATCACTATTAGGGAATGAACATAAACTTAAGTTATGTCCCTTCTTACATTTTAAAATTCCCTCAAAGGGAATAAGTCCCCACTCCTGTAACTTTTTTACAGTTTTTTCAGGCACTGGGCCATTTTGCTTAAAGCCAAATAATTCATAAATTTCAACTATTTGCTCAATAACCATTTTTATTTTATTGGATACACACAGAATTAAATATTTGATTAAATAACGGTAAATAACAAGCGTTACTTTCTCATTTGACATTTGTTTTTAAATTTGAAAGAGCATTCAAAACAAAGATCAACCGAAAACGGAACACAAAATATACCTAAGACATAAACCATTAATATAAATTGAAATCCTAATTTAAATACGTTTATATTTATAATTAGAATAGCGTTAGTGGGTAGCCGGCCTTCGGCCGGGGATTTCAGAATTTCTTCTATGGACAGATGCCAACACCGGCTACGCGACAGATTCTCCTTTTAATTAGAATAGTTTTTGTGGGTAGCCGGCCTTCGGCCGGGAATTTAAGACTTTCTTCTATGTACAGATGGCAACACCGGCTTCGCGACAGAATCTCCTTTTAATTAGAATATTGTTTGTGGGTAGCCGGCCTTCGGCAGGGGATTTAAGACTTTCTCCTGTGGACAGATGGCAACACCGGCTACGCGACAGAATCTCCTTTTAATTAGAATAGTTTTTGTGGGTAGCCGGCCTTCGGCGGGGGATTTAAGACTTTCTCCTATGGACAGATGCCAACACGTATATCTCAGAAAGTATGGACTTATTTAATATAAATATTATATTTTTGTAATCAGGGCTTAACTGGTACCCCAATGTAGACCCAAGCACATAACAGTTTATAATTTTTTTATAATTTATAATTCCACCAAATGTTTTTCAATAGAAGATCATGTTTTGTTATTGCTCCAACGTTTTTACATTATCTTATTTGTCCCTTCTTGAAGGATTCTTAATTACAATATCATTTTGTTCATGTCCAACTGTCCTTTTAATTTTTATGTCAAAATCAGTATATAACTCAAAAAAGTTTAGATTTGGCATAGAAATTTAGTGGTTTCCGCTCAGTTATAGGTATATTTCATTTTTAAACAAATTGTTAATCAGTTAGGGGAAAAGTTTGGCCAATGTTGACGCCGTATAGCTTCTTTTAATTGTAAATGCCAGTTGTACTCTTAACTTTAAATCGTGACAGCCTTAATTTGCATTAACAGCCTTAATTCAAATTAACTTGTACATTATCCTCATTTTTATGTGTTGTAAATGCACAAAATCAAACTGAACAAGGCACATATATTAGGTAGTCGCATCGGCGAGAATTGTATATTCTGAAAGATATAGATTAAAGACTGCAATTGTATTAATGTATGTACACAGAGGTGGTATTTACACACACTCCAATATCGGGCCGATCGCATAAAGTTCAAAGATGTCACAAATGGTGATGAATCAAAATCCTTATTTATAGTTCATGTGGAGAAGTTCCATATAGTGTCAATTTTCAAGTGTTTTACTCCCTCCATTATAAAGTGGAGTGTATATTCCATTTGTCCCACCCCTTTCGTTCAGCCTCATTTCTTGTAGCTTGTCGTGCATCTACAAACTCTTGAGACAATGCATACATTTAACATAGATGTGTAGGGTATACAAACATTTTGTTCTGATTGGTTGAATCATTTCTTGCAAATTAAAACACCTTTCACGAAAATTTTTCCAGTTTTGATGTAGCCCTCATATAAAATTCCTGTTCATTTTTAGATATTTTGGTTCTTTCGAAGTAAAATTGAAAAAAAAATCACGAAACTTCAATTTTATTTACAAAAATTAATTAATTTTTTAAGGCGAATTAAAAATTACAACAATTTGTTTTGACATTTAATGTTACAATCAACTGGGTCGATGCGACTACCTAATACATCTACCTTGAAACTGAATTTATACTGAATTAAGCAATTTCAATATGGCAATGCTGTAGAAAATAAATTGATTATTGTCAAATTTGTTTACGTTTATGAAAATAAAAATTAGAATAAAGGCAAAATACAACATTCCCTCGAGTTGGGCGCTGTTATATCATCATTATAGCTGTTATTTGAGCTGTCTGTCGTGTATCGTTTTCATAAAGATGTAATCCTAAAAAATATTGTAAAAAATGTCAATATTTTCTTCCTACACACCGACAAACAATAGTTTTGAAACAAAAAAACTGGTTCATAAATGCAGAAACTCTCGTCTGTCAGGGGTAAATATTAATTCAAATTAAGAACTATTTAATGCAAATTAAGGCTGTCGTCTGTCTTTGGTATA